ATGCCGATTAATGCCTCTCAGCTTCTTGCCCATACGATGACAGAAGAATGGATCGTGAAGTAAGTAAACGGCCCAGGATGCATCTTTCATATATTCATGTCTGACCAAGCAATCTGTGAGTACATCATCAGCTTTATAAATCACTTCCTTCAAATGTGTCAAGCCTGCCCTGACAGTTTCGTTCTTGCGATTGAGATTCTCTGTGTCTGCAAGTAATGCCTTGGCAAGATCAAGCCCTGTCTTCATCTGCTTAAACTGGCCGCTAAACTCAAGTGAGAATTGAGCTTGGTTCACAAGAGCTTTGAACACTTGCTCCGTCAGCGTTTGGATCATAGCATTTATTGGTGATTGCATGATGGGTGATTGCATGATGATCTCTTCTACTCGTCTCTGAAACTGCGTGCATATAGTTTTTTAGGTCGAGAAAGTTTTGTAAATTATCTAGTCAATGGTAACCTTAATGATACTAACACCACGAGCATGAACAATCAAATAGCCAAAAACAAGTTCTTGGTTTTTTCGTGCATATATTGTAGTAATTAGTCAATCGATGAATTGAGCAGAAACAGGGGAACTTACGACTGGTTTTACCGAGTAAATAATAACAATTCATAAATCATTTACCTTTACCTAAAAAGAGCAAAGGCCCAGCGCGGTTGATTCTTGCAGGATGAAGGACGTGAATGAGAGTTGGAACTTGAAATATCCAGCTGAAAAATACTGAAATTTTGATTACGAAAAAGATGTGACTTCTTCCCAGCAGATAAATATCAATTTCATCTTCCTTAATTCATATTTCATAGTAAAGTGAATAAATTCCCCTAAGAAACCCTAGAAACGCCAATAGAGAATAAATTCCCCTATCTATCAGCACAATTGAAGTCGCTGCTGCTTTTAGGCCAGGGAAAAGTGCTTGAAGCCGAGTTGTGGGGTCTGTTTTTTGGGTTGAATTTGGCTGTTCAGAAAAAAGTAGATGATATTGTTATTGAGATGGATTCAGAGACTGCTGTGCTTCTTCTTCAGAGTAAGGTTTTGAATGCTTGTCATCCTAATGCTGGGCTGGTCAGTAGCTGTAAAAAGCTTATGAATTTGTTTCCAAGGAAAGGATTAAGCTTCAACATATTTATGGAGAGAGGAATGATGTAGCTGATGGGTTGGCTACTTGGAGTCACAATTTGGATCTGGGCTGTTGCTATCTTAAGGAGAGTCCTGCCTGGCTTGGGTATCTGTTGATTTGACAGCGATTATTTTCACAGCGCAGCAATGCCAAATTGGCCCTTAGATCCTAGTCATGGAAAAATAAAGAGATAGGTTGCAGTCAAGGAAATATCACTTCTATGGAGAAAAGCCAAATTTTCTATAAATTTTTTGGTGTATTCAAACTAGACTTTTTAAAATTAATTCACATTTGGATATATTCAATGATTTTTTTAATACACCTAAATTCTTTGGGCTTTCAAGTTTCATAAACACGTATGATTTTGCACTGCAATCAAAGTTTTGGGCTATATAAATTTGTGGTGGTGTACACATGGTAACATCCAAATTTAAAGGTACAGTAATCAAAAGCTAGAGAGGGCTACTTTTGTTTTTGCATGTATAGCAAATGAAGTAGTTACATTGAATTTTAGTATATTTTATTTTTTTTGTAATTTTTAGTTCTTTGTTTGACTTTGCAATTAGTAGGATTTTAGAAAGAATATAAAAATTAAATTGAAAATTAGAAAGTGAGAATAAAATACATACAAACATTAAAAATATACACTTAAAAATAAATTAAAACACACATCCTTCTACTTACATCCCTCCAAATGTCACCCGCCACCAACACCCAAACCACTGTTATGACCACAATAAGAACACTTCCAGCAGTGAGAATGTTGCCATGGCAAGGGGGGGCTGGGCAGACACTATTCACTGCCACTTCCGGCAGTTGCCATGACAAAGGGGTACTATTCAATGATATATTTTTTTTTTTTAAATTTCAGATAAATTTCAAATTTTCAATTTCATATAAATTTCATCTGAATTTCAAATTTCAGATAAATTTCATTTGAATTTCAACTTTTCATTTGAATTTCAATTTCAAATAAATTTCATTTGAATTTCAATTTCAGATAAATTTCAT